TACTCATTTCAGTATTGGTATAGAGTAAAAGATAATTTACCTAAAGTATTGTTGAAGAGAAGGAAACCAAATGACTAAACAGAAACAAATAAAATATTGTTTACCGTTTTTTTTAAATCTCTCACCCCCTCTTTGTGTATACGAAATCTAAGACTGTTTGACCCTGACATACAAACACACATGTGGTTTTAGGAAGCTGTAGAAGCATAATTCCGAAATGAATCACGGTGATAAGAGCCAAAGAAGAAGGGAAATCCTGCAAGGAGAAGAGAACAGAAAGAGGAAGAAGTAAATTGGCCTAGCAAGTTGTATGAGGTTAGGCGGAGGTGTCGTTTCCACCGCGTCACGACCTTAAATAAGTCGTTTTGAAACAAATTACCTCGTTTTTCTTTTCTCTCTTTATCACCGATTGTTCTTTCGAGTGCGATTCTTCACGTTTCTTTTCCGTCTGTGCTATTTAAGGCATCACGTATCAAATTCAATTCAAGTTCAAGCCGGTAAAAAACAACAGCTGATTCGAATTTAACGTCTTTTTTTCCATCGTCTTCGTTCTTTTCTCTTGTACTTTTCCCACTTTTTCTTTTCTTTGTCGCTTTTCTTTTCTTTCCTACGTCTTTATCATCGTCTTTATTACGTCTTCCTCTTTAAATATATCTCTTGCTCATTATCCTTGAACGTGATGCCAAATGATGCCTAAATTAGATTAGGGAGAAAGAGAGAAGAGAGAGAGAGAGAGAGAGAGAGAAGAGAAGAGATGAGAGAGAGAGAGAGAGAGAGAGAGAGGAGAGAGAGAGAGATGAGAGAGAGAAGTGTGTGTGTGTGTGTTGTGTGTGTGTGTGTGTGTGTGTGTAGTGTGTGTTGTGTGGTGTGTGTGTGTGTGAGTGAGTGAGTGAGTGAGTGAGTGAGTGAAGTGAGTGGTGAGTGAGTGAGAGAGAGAGAGAGAGAGAGAGAGAGAGAGAGAGAATGAGTGACAACATACCGAAAAAAAACATAGACCAGAAAATGAAAATCAAATAAAGAGAAACTATTCAAAACGAAAGGACAGAAGCCAGAGAAACAGAAAAAAGACAAAAAAAAAAAGAGTAGACAATACAGAATGAAAGAAATGTCATTCCCAGCCAATTTCCCAAAGTGACAACACACAGCCTAAACAAAGCCAAAGGTCGTCTCCTCCTTCTCCTCCCTCCTCTCCTCCTCCTCCTTTCTGCTTCTTCTTCTTCTTCTTCTTCTTCTTCTTCTTCTTCTTCTTCTTCTTCTTCTCTTCTCTTTTCTTCTTCTTCTTCTTTCTCCTTTCCTCCTTCTCCTTTCTTCCTTCTCCTTTCCTCCTCCTCTCCCTCCTTCTCCCTCCTTCCTCCTCCTCTCCTCCTTCTCCTATGGCCATACACACGACACCTAACCTAACGAACTTCAACAATACAACAAGCACCCTGCAGAACTTCCCCAGCTCTCTAACCCTACTCTCTCCTCACTCCTCCTCGACGACCATACATAACCCCCGAGCCATCGAGCACACCTATGACCAGATCGCCTTATTCTCCTCACTCTCCATTCATCACATCTTCTCCTTTCTTCTCATCTCTCTATCTTTCTTCTTCCATTCCTCTGTACTTTTCTACTTTACTACTTGTATCTGCTTCCTCCGCATCTTCTCTTGTCTTCTTCTTCTGATCTCCTCCCTCCCTCACCGTCCTCTCCTCTTCTACCTATCTCCACCTCCTGCCCCATCTCCTCCTCACATTAGCGCTGCCTTTCACTCTGCGCAGCTATCCTCCCTCTCCTCCTCCTCCTCTCTACCCTTACTCCTCTCACTTTCTCTGCTCTTACCCTCCCCATCACGACGCCACATACACATCTCTTCTCTCTCTCTTCTCTCGCCTCCTCCCACTCTCTCCTCCTCTCTCCATCTCAACCTCCTCCTCTACCCTGCTCCTTCTCCCTCCCTCCACTTCGCGCGACTTACAATTGAAATTCACTTATTCCTGTCAGACCACTCTAGCCGCCGGAGAGATTTTCGTCGATTTTTCTTATATTTTTTCTTTTTTCTCTCTTCGGACTGGGGATCCGCGCAGCTTACCCTTAAGATAACCACAAATAGTGTTGATAGCTCGAAGCGACAGTTGTACCGCACAAGTCATCTGAGAATCGATCGGCAACTCCTATTGCGATCATAACAAACTTATCAGTAGCTGGAGAATACACGGGCATTCTTTCTCACCTCTTATGAATAACCTACCCTAGGGATTGCGTCTCTGTATCTCATATCATATCTCTCTCTTATCTTTATTCCTACCTTTCTTTACCTCTCATCTCTGCCTCTCTCTCTCATACTCCTCTCTCTTACTCTCTCTCTCTCTCTCTCTCTCTCTCTCTCTCTCTCTTTCCCCCCCACAGCTCCCACTCTGTCTCTCCCCCCCCCTGTCTCTCTCCCCCCCCTGTCTCTCTCTCTCTTCCCCCCCCCCTCTCTCCATCCCTCTCTCCTCGCCTGCCCGCTCTCTCTTTCTCCCTGCTCCCCTCCTTTTCCCTCTCCCTCTCTCTCTCTTCCTCCCACCTCATCATCCTCTCCCTCTCCCTCTCCTCTCTCAAGGTACAGGGGGGGGGGTGAAGGGGACGAAGCCTGACACCAGTTATGTTTTTGACACTTTCAATTTCATATACTTAAGTGACTGTAATTTTCCACTCGCAAAGACAGATTACTAATACAGTGTAGTTTGTTATGTCTAGCGCTGAGTGTTTCGTAGACGAACGCTACTTAAGTTCAAGAATGTTCATAACACAACAACAAAAACAAATCATGTTCTTTTCCGTGTGCTGTTTGTTCTCTGTTTGTCCATTCCGATCAGATATTCGAAGGCTGAATCGCCGGATATACGCTAACGCTCCTTAACATTCCTCAGACAGAAGGAGTTAGAGATGAAAAAATCCAAGAGGAAAAAATATGCAAATCCCCTGGCTCCCATTCACCCGCAGGTGACCCCGAAAACGGGGAAACCGGCGCCTGGCTTCGCTCCTGACGCCGCCAGGAGCCGACACCGGGCTCTGGCACCACGTCACAGCCAACCGATTTCAACGAAAAGTGAAAAAGGGATTCGGGCGCGGCGGGCAGGAGACCCGACCCGCCACCTGCGTGACCCACAAACCTTCAGCTCCTTCACCCGTCATCGTGCTTCGCCCCCACCCGCCCCCTCCCCCTCCCTCGCCCTCACCTTCTCCCCCCCGCCGCCAGCTGGGCCAAACAAGCGCCTTTTCTCGCCCTCAGAAGCGACTTTCCTCCTCCTTCTTGCACCAGGACGAACTCGAGCCTCGAACCCTCGAGATGAGGAGCTCCGCCCTCCTCCAGAAGCCAAAGGGAGCCTCCAGGAGGACCTCCGAGATCTTGAATGAAAACTTTCGCTTTCGTTTGGAGGTTGAACGAGTGCCGCGGCCTCACACACGCCGGGCATGTTAACCACGTCGCCGCACCCGTCGTCGCCGCCGTGCGATTCGCTCGTCGGTCGTCGCGACGTTGAGACAGGAACGATCTGTCGCCCTCCCGCCCTCCGCGTCGCCGGCGCTTCCAGGAGAGCCAGATGGTGGAGTCAAGGCGGCGAGCGGGGGGAGGGGGAGGAGGTGAGGAAAGGTGTCGAGGCCGCTGACACGGTGCCAAGAGTGCCCCATATGGTGACGCTCTGGCGGCACTGCGAGGGCGAAGAGCCTTGAGTCTGCAGCCGAGGTCACTCCGTCTCCGCTCCCGCCGCGCAGGGCCTCCTCATAAGGGACTCCCCTCACTGTACCCGGCCTCACCATATCTCCTCAACGCCTCACAATATGCGCAAACCCTTGGCCTGAGTGCGCTTCGGCCAGATGTTGAGAATGGCAGCCTCGCGACGCCCATCTGGGAAGGCACTGAGAGGGAGGGACCGTCAAGATAAGACAAGCAACAAGAAACCGCACACGCCTCGACCCGGTGCCATAGCAAGGGCCTCCCTCCGCAGCCCTAGAGCCCTGAACAGCCGCCGAGAGAGGGAAAAGGGAGGGGAGGGGAAACATGTGTTGTTCCGCCATGAAGGAGGGCAGGGTCACGCAGCCGCCAGACCCTACATGTTAGATATCTTAGGCGGGGAGGGGGAGGAGGGGGGAGGGGGTCCTTAGCGCCTGGCCGACGATTCTCTATGTTTTGCAACTTGTTTACTATTACACGCGAGAAGAAGCCAGAAGGTGAAGGGCAGAGAAAGAAAGAAAGAGCAAAAGGAGACGTGCCGAAAAAGAAAAGAAAAGAAAGATAACTGAAAAAGAGAGAGCAAAACAAAAACATGACGATGCCAAGGGATTGTCAATTGTTGTGCCACACTCGCACGCCTTCTGCCAACAACCTGGAACCATCTGCGGCGTGTCAGCAGATAGCAGAAAAGGGAAGAACCATCTGTCACACCTGTCCTACCACCTGCGCAAACAAGGGCCATTTATATAAGGCGAAACCAGCTGAGTCCCCGTCTGTTTCCCTCAAGACAAACAGAATAAGGACCCAGATACTAAAACGTTTTTCTCATGCACTCAAAAAATGACAAATAACCAAATAAACGTTTTGACATCGCATTCGGGATCGAGAAAGGTGCTTCTCCTTGATGCCTTAAGAGTCTTTCTTCATGTCTAATGGTCGTCCTCGAGGTACTGAATGTCGTCCTTGAGAATCTGGAGTCCTTGATTTGTTGCCAGATGCTGAGGTCATTTTCTCTCTCTCTCGCTCTCGCTCTCCTCTCTCTCTCTTTCACTCTCTCTGTCTCTCTCTCTCTCTCTCTCTCTCTCTCTCTCTCTCTCTCTCTCTCTCTCTCTCTCTCTCTCTCTCTCTCTCTCTCTCTCTCTCTCTCTCTCTCGCTCTCTCGCTCTCTCCCGCTCTCTCGCTCTCTCTCCTCTCTCGCTCTCTCGCTCTCTCGCCTCTCGCTCTCGCTCGGCTCTCGCTTCTACACTCTCTCTCCTTTCACAGTCTCTCTCTCTCTCTCTCTCTTCCTCTCGCTCTCTCGCTC